CGCTCCAGCTTGACGGGAGCTGGAGAGTAGGGGCTTTAGGCGCGGGCTAGGGGGAGACGGGCAGCAGATCCCCGGTAGTGAAAGGGGAAGAAAGGGAAATAAGTATCAAGGAAAAAACAAACAAACCCCGAGGTGGAATGAAACCGAATTCACTCCGCATTGAGGTGCACGGGGGAGGAGTGTGTCCACACGACGCCATCGGGATGAAAGGACCTGATCCAGAGCATCCCTGGGTACCGCGGGTCCTTGAGCCGCCAGTGGGTCCCCGAGATCCTGAGACGACCCAGACCCCCGCGAGGAGCCGGGGGGCTTTGTGAGGAAGGCGGGGAGGAGGGCGGCCGGCCCGGGCGTGGGGGCTGGGCTCCCCGGACCCCCTGCCCCGTCACCGCGGCTCCAGGCTGCTCCTCCTCGGGGGACAGCTGGATCCACCCGAGCTCAGGGGAAGGCAAAAGGGCACGGACGAGATTTTGGGGGGGGTCCCCTGTTGGGAACCCAGTAATTCCCCCCACCGCGACTTCCCAACGGAACAGGGGTTTGGTTGTCGCTGCTGGTTTATTTAAATCCTTTAATAAATCATTGCTTTTATTTTACTTAAGGCAAGTTTTATTGTTAAGGGGGAAAGTAGCAGGTTATAGATCCGACGAGCCCCGACAGGAATCTTCTAAAATGCGGGGGGGGAGGGGAATCCTCTTAGCACCGACAGGAGTCTGCTAAAATGTGGGAAATCACAGCTAGGGACGAGCTGTCCAGGTTTAAAGTAAAATAATAATATTCAGAATAATAATCGTATTTGGTTTCATTTCAAGTCTGGCTCACGCTGTCCCGCCCTGGTGGCAAGAGGCTTTGGAAAGGCAGGAACAGCCCCAAAAAGGGAATTTCGCCCCAAACCTGGCTCATCATATCAGGAGGGAGAGGGGGAAAGGCTGGATATTGTGGGGTTGGCAAATTTTGCTCGGGTGGTGCGAAAAGGGGGGAAGGCGCAACGCATGAATTAAACCCTAAATAAAAAGCCGTGATATGGCAAATCAAGCCTCCCCCAGCACCAGTAATCCGAGTCCCTAACATGAGGTCGTGGAAATGCGTTTTCCTATTTATTAGTATTAGTATTATCCTCATCCTTGTTATTATCATCCCTATTACGACCACTATTAGTATTATTATCCCTATTACTATTATTCCTACTGTTAATACCCCTAGTATTAATATTCCTATTATTTAATTGCAATGTTCAGGGCTTTTATTTTTATTTAAAGGGGATCTATATCTATATCTATATCTATCTATATCTATATCTGTATCTGTATCTGTATCTGTATCTCTCTATATCTCCCACTCCCTTTGTCGCCTGCAGCCTGACCTAGATGTAAGGCCAATTGCGGGTGTGTATATGTGTGTGTATGTGTGTCCACTCTTGGGGACGAGGGCTCTCTGATCCAATGCATGTGTGCGTGTGTGTGTGCGTGCGCGTGTGTATGTGTCCCACTCGTAGGGGAAAAGGAGCCTCTGATCGCGTGTGCGCGTGTCCCAGGCTTAGGGGAAAAGGGCTTTCTGCGCGTGTATGTGCGTGCGTGCGTGTGCGCGCGTGTCCCACGCGTAGGGGAAAAGAGCTCTGTGATCCAACGCGCGCGCGCGCGCGCTCGCGTGTGTGTGTGTCCCACTCGTAGGCTGTCCCTGCTCGTGCGCGCGCGGGCATGTGCGCGCGTGTCCGCTCGTGTCCCCGCGCGGGTGTGTG